ATGCCTGTCATATCTGCATGGCTAAAAGCAAACAAGCCCGCGTTAGTAGTTAAGAATTGATGAAACTTACTTGGTTCCTGAAGTTTGCAGCCGACGTAAGTTTTCTTGCTGTGATCGTTGCTATCTAATTGGACGGGGTCAAGGTCTTCTATGGTCGAACCGGCGGCTTCGACCGTATTGGGGTCTTTGATGATGTCCTCGCTATCATCACCTTTCGACCTTAACCCTGTTGATTGTTATTCCTCTTTTTCTTTGTCCTTCGTTTGTTGAATGACCGTGCAATCCAATGCGATGCGGTAACATTCCCGAGATATGCGTTGCTCCCCTTGTATGTTGAAGATTCCCCGTGGTGTTGGGAATTTGATGACTTGATATAAGCTGGAAGGGATAGCTATCAAGGTGTGTATCCATGGTCGGCCTATTATTACGTTGTACGCTGTGTCTTGGTCCATGATGTGAAAGGTGGTTTCCAGAGTGAATCCACCATCTAGGACGGGGAGTGTAATTTCTCCAAATATTCGCTCAACTATATTGTTAAAACCTGTTAGTATGATACAACGCGACACTATCTTATCCTCGAGTTTCATTTGTGTAAATACTCGAGGGTGGATAATACACGGGCCGCTCCCATCGTCTACCGTAATGTATCTCACATCGGTATCTAGAATTTGTAAAGGGATAACAATGGTGTCATAGTGAGGGAAAAATAAATCGTCGGTATTTGACTTATCGAAGATGATACTCTCTTCGAGCTCGTCATACCGTTCGTGGGTAATCGATTGTTTGAGCTTGTGGGTTGTGGTGAACTTTATGCTGTTGATAGAAACACCATCGCCGCCACCGATGATCATGTGGATAGTGCGAGTTGGCAAGGGCAATTTTGGCGGTCCCTGATACTGTTCACGTCCTTTGGCAAAGTTGGTCCTTCCCTGGTGGCTCAGCAATTCTTTTAGGTGTCCTTATCGAAGCATGTTTACGACCTCCTATCTTAGGGCGATGCAATATGCGAATTTGTGCCCTCGTTCTTGGTGGAACATGCAAAGGGCATCCGACTTTCTGGTATTCGGATCTGACCTCATCTTTTGTGGCCACTTCACCTTTGTTCCGAGCTTCTCCAAGGCACAAGCTATTTCTGTAGGAGACATACAAAAATTGTGAGCAGATAACAAATGGCGCATACCTTTTTCGTTCTGATGAGTCCCTGTCCTTGATATGGGTGGGCCCTCTTCGTGGCAGGAGAAGGGCGCAATGGCACTTCTGACATATGGTAGATGCCGTTCCCGATTGGGTCGTGGAGCTACGAGGTCCCTTCTGATATCATTTCTTCTATCTTTCCTGGATTCGGCTTGTACCAAGGTCAATCAATAAGTTGGCCCATTGAGGTAGTCCTCGTCTACTTGGACCTCGGCACAATATGCATTGTATATTTCATCCCAAGTAGTTGGGGGCACTTCATAAGCTGACTTAAGAATTTTCTCGTTGCCCTTGAACCATTTATGCTAAGCCCGTTCTGGAAAGTTGCAACCGCCATCCCTTCCGATATGTTCGGCAAGGTCATCCTTACTCAATTGAAACGGGCGAAGAAGTCCCTCAATCCCTCTCTCGGAGACTGTTTGATAACAAATATGTCAATTACTCTCGCTTCAGCCTTTTTGGCCCCAGCAAGGGCCGTTACGAACTTGTCGGCCATTTCTTTGAAGATCTTAATGGAACCCGCAGGCAGTTGTGAATACTATGTTAACGCACCTCCGGTGAGAGTTTCGCCGAATTTCTTCAGCAAAATAGAGGATACTTGTTCCTTGGCGAGATTATTGCCTTTTATGACGGTGACGTAGTGAGTTACATGGTCTTCGGGATCGGTCGTACCATCATATATTTTCAGGTAGGGCAACATTTTAAAGGTCTTTGGTATGGCATGCGGGGCGGCACCATCGCTGTATGGCTGCTCGACAAACCGACCATCATCTCTCTTTGGCAAGAGCTTTGGGGAACCCGGTATCTTATCGACCCTTTATTGGTGTTCCCTCATTTGGTCCCGAAGCGCTTTGTTCTCGTTCTCCGATTTCCTCCATCTTTTTCAAAATGGTTGCGAGGGTGTCATTACCTGCACTATTAACGGCGTTGTGAGTAACCCGTCGTTGGAGGAGGAAACGGGTCATGCTGCTCGTCCGCTGGTGGTATAACGCAAGTCCTTGCATTTTCTGCAACCGTATCATGAGCGGGCTTATGGAAGATGCTGGTTAGCGTGTTGTTAGCATAGCCTCGAGGAGCTTTTTTACTGCTGGTGGTATCTCTTCCCCCACGGACATAGAAGCTCCTTTACCGAGAGATTTTGTGATGCTACTGTGAGGAAGGAAGATCTGCCTCGCTTGGGGGAGGCATGGAGTGTTGTATCCTCGTCCTCTACTTTAGAAATCTCAATGATGGTGTTCAAGAGGTTGGTTGTGAGGTCGCCCGTTATCCTCGTTCTTTCTTCTCTGTTACCTACCATATTAGATCTGTGCATATGAAGAAAGGGGATCCTGTTGTCTGTGTTAGTTGTAGATCTAGAGGAAACTAAAAATTTAACTAAGAAATTCCCACATGCGGCGCCAAATTATTTGACCAAAAATATTAACCTTCGGTTAAACTATTATATTCTAAGCAATTAAGGGTTAGACCTAGTTAATGATAATATCTTTAGATATAGATCTTGAAAGCACGGATAACGTGGGATCGAGTTAGTGGAAAATTGATAATACTATACATTTAATATTCCAAAGGATATGAGCAGTAATGAAGGAGTAACTAGCAATAAATAATAATAAATGACATTTAAGTAAATAGGAGGAGTGATTCACCCAATAATGAATGAACTAGATGATTGTTCCTCCTCACAATAAAGAGTAATAGATAAATCCTAGAACGTTTAGACTATTATTGGAGCTGATGAAAAAGTATGAAATAATGTGAGTGAGAATATTGATGAAAAGTAAAGTTTGTATCTTTTCTAGAGAGAGAATCTTCTTTTGAAAAGTGTTATTCTCCGGTGAATATTACATGTAGGGGTGTTCAAACCGAGCCGGAAAACCGCACCAAACCGAAAAACCAAACCAAACCAAACTGATTAAAAACCCCGATTAGGTTTGGTTTGACTTGGTTTGGTATTGAGTAAAAAAACCGAACCAAACCGACATATAAATATAAAAATTTTATTTATATTTTTAAGACTTTATAGTGATTTTTCTTTAGAAAATGTAGAAATATTTGGGATCCTCTCATGTATTAACCTTGAAAGTGTAAATTAACGAAAAATTATTGTTAGACGACTAAGAAAATAACTATCATGTGTTACTAAAAAAAATTTCCCATTAGAATTTTTTAATAGATCATATGTTTGTCACTTTTTACCACATTTACTAAACATATTTTCACTCATCAAAGCTTTATCTATAATTTTAATAAAGTAAGATTGAAATAATATGTATGTAACAAAAAAACCCGAAAACCCGAAAACCCGACAAAACCGAACCAATCCAAACCGATATAATTGGTTTGGCTTGGTTTTGATAAAAACCGAACTAACCCGGTCCATGTACACTCCTCCCTCATTCATTGACCTTTTTTCTATTTATATGAGACATACCCCCAATAAATCCTAATAGTGCATATGCAGAGAATATCCAATGAAATATTCTCTTCAATATCTTATTCTAATAAACTAGCCGTTACAACTCTTTTTGCAGTGCTCGATATCGACCATCGTTTGCATCCTGACCACGAGCCTCGCTATCTCTTAATCGACATCGGCTGATTCTTTCCGTTATGTTATTTTGCACTAAGTACTGGGATATATTTCGACCTATACACTCCCCTTGTCCCAAAAGAAATGATATTTTTCAGATTTTGAGATCATACAAATTGTTCTTTGATCGCGATTTTTTTATGTACTTTTTAAATATTTTGAATTGTTAATTATTTTGATTTGTAGTATTTTTTTTTATGTAGTTTATATATGCATTATATAAAATCTGTGTAGAAATTCATGGTCAATGGGAAGAAGTTTGACTCTCCACACTACCCAACATCCATTTTCTTCCTCCATCTTCATGGACCACTACCCGTTATATAGACAAAACTATCAATCACATAATTAACATTTCACTAACTGAAACAGTAACAAAATGACTTCTTATTTTTCTAACTTCAAATATTTTGAAATCAAGATAATTTGCTAATGCGACTCGTATTAGAAACCAGAAATAGTATTGTGGAGTCAGTGGTAAAGTCAGAAATTTTCGCAGGGGTGTTTAAACTTGAAAGAAGTGAAAAAAAATTCTCCAAAAAGAGTGTTCAGTATATATTATATACCTCTAAAACCTAATATTTTATCTATATATATAATAATTTTCGACGAAGGGTGGTCGATAATGTAGTTTCGTGTGTGGTGATACAAAAGATTTAGTGATATTCATGATTTAAATGTAAATGTTAACCCTACTTAATTTTTACTCTACATATGTCATAGGCTACGGTTTGACTGTGTATAACCGCATTAATTAGGCTGTATTTGTCGCTCTTTTTCTATGATTTTCTTTCTTTTGTTTAATTCCTTTTCCTTTTCGAGATATGTCGTCTTTTAGCTTTTTTAATGGTCAAATCATAAATTTATACATGAAAACCAATGAAAATTAAATACTTACGTTATGAACTCATCATGATTTTAAGAAAGTAGTTGGATTACTAATGGACTCTAAATCTTTAACTCGCAAGATTTAAATTCTGAATTCAACTATTTTCCTAGATTTATAACAAGCAAATAGTGGATGCATGTGCCTTGACCACCACCATCCAAATCGGAACTTGTAAAAAAGATCGACAACAACAACAATATATCCAGTATTATCCCACACTATAAAAAAACCAGACAAATTATAAAATTCCTCAGCTAAGTAATCAAAGTGTTACAACACTTCATTAATTAGTTAGAAGTCCAAAACGCTGTGCTAGTTATAACAAGATGAACAAGTAAGGCAAGTGGTAGATCCAATAATATGGATTCGCAGGTTCGACAAAACTCAGTAGTTGAGAGGTTGAACCATATATATACGTGCCAAAAACAAAAGATCCAGTCATAAACATTTCAGAACCTATTTTCTCAACTCAGAACCCACAACGTCTAAATTCTTGTTCCGCCACTAAGTAATTAGGGCTGCCAAAACTCAGTGCTTGAGGAGTTGAACCATCATATTGTTCCATTTGAATTGCAGGCAAATTAGGAGCAGATTCTTGCTGCATTTGGATGCATAATATCTCTGTTTGGGCCATAGCCAGTTGCATTTCTAACTGTGAAACCTGATTTTGTAAATAAGAGATGGCACCAACACAACCGTAAACAGGATCTCTCATTCTTGCATTTGCTTCATACACTAAACTGTTTACTGCATCTGCTCTTTGCTGTACTGGAAGTTCCTGAATATAACATTAACCAAGAAAATGAATCATATATACATATGTCAATTTGCATAACATGAACAAACTATATATGAGATTTATAGAATTAAAAATTAGCCGATGGATGTACAATATATATGTATGTATAATATGTATATAATCAGTGTATAATTTATGTATACTGACTAGAAAAAATAAATAGGAAATCCGACCAAATATGTGTAAAGATCCCAATAACATTAACCTAGATAAATAAATAGCTAAATCATACAGGTGTTGCATAATATGAACAAACAACTAATGGCACTCCACTTTTAGCCTAGAGTTTAAGTTATATTCATTTTCACAGCAAGAAAATATATACTTACATAATCAGGTCATCTATTTTACTTATAAATAAAGGCACGCCCAACCTTTTATAACCGGATCCATCTAAAGTCAGTACTTTCAACATGGAGCATAAATTTTACTAAGATTATAATAAATAATTCTGAACCCATAATTTTAATATAATTTTCACGCTAAAAATCCATACTATTGAACTCATAGAGTTTATATTTTGAATCTTCCTCTGCTTATAAAACGTACAATAATAGATAATCTCTACGATAATTATTAACTAATACTCTGGTAAAAATGAATATTAACCCGCTCTCGTGAAAAAAAAACTATTGAAATATAAAATATTTAGAAACAAAGTTTTGAATCAGATTAAGAAAAAAAAAATGAAACCTGTATCATCTTGCTAATATTGCTAGCACCAAAAACCTTATGAACAATGGCAAACTTGTGAGGGTCATCTGGAGGGAAGTAAGGAGCAAATATGCAGTCTTTGGCACAACGACGCCTTAATAATTTGCAGGAAGCACAAGGAGAAGTTCCTCCTCCCATTTTAATTTGTGCTAAAAATAGGCAATTACTCTTGAACAAAGAGAAACTTCTCTTTAATGAGAAGGAAGAGAGAGGAGATATAGTAATTATGCAATTATGGCTAGCTAGGACAAAGTGTGTAGTTTGGAATAGAATGAACACCTATTTATAATGTTTTTGCAAGGAGTTATTAGTAGTGTGTACAATTGATAATGTACATTTTTTACCGTAGCTAAATGTGTTTTACAGTAACACTTTTCACACCAGAAAGCACATTAATCTATTTTTTTGCTTTTTAATTTTTTAATATATATATAGCAAGTGACTTATTTTATTTTCAAGATTACAAATTTCACTTTTGATGGAAGGTTACGTGTAGACCTTTTGGATGATGTGTAAAAGCTTTTATATATATATATATAAAAGTTAAACTTGATGATTTATGACTTTAATTGATATATAGGCACGGTTATATAACGTAATTACACTATCAAGTTAACTAAAAGAAAAGACAAGTAATCGTTCATAATAAGGAAAATTGATAATTAATCCGAAAAATAGAAGTGCAACATGCTAAATTTATATTATTAATGTACTCTTTTTTTGCACTATATATTATAAGTATCTACTCCATTATTTAAAGGCCACAAGAAGATCTGTTTAAAGACTAAATAAGACAAAGGGAAATAAATGCATGGGAGAACAACTAGGGTTAGGGTTTAGCAAAATGATGACTAACACGATGCAAAAACCCTAGTCCGAAGTTAGAGAAAGATAGACTCGACGTGAATGTTTGTTGGCGGACATTCACATGGAATTAAACACAAAAACTTGGTTAATGACTATGTTTTTCTCATCATTGATTTGATCAACGGTCATAACACTTGGATGAAAAATCTAAGCAACAAAAAAAATTACCATTCAACTAATATAGTGAATGAGAGCATTTGACGCGGCAGTAAAAGTTGTTGTGGTTTGATCTAAAGGTTCTATTTCTAAACCTCTCACATAAGGAGAGCTTAATGCGTTGAGGTGTTCTTTAATGGACAAAATACATAAAAATTCTTTTTGATAATGATGGTGAAATTTTCTGAACGTAAACATTAATTATCGGTACTTATTTTATATTAAACAATGTGACTACCTTATCTCAAAGTTTAAGTCATTATAAATACGAATCATCAATATTTATTTATTTAATTATATCTTCAATATATAACGTTAAGTTGGCATAAAAATTAAAAGTTTCTTGCAGTATATGGATTCAAGAGAAAAATTTAAAATTAATCTTCACCTTATTGTAAATGTATATGTATCACGAGGTTTCTGAAATGATACTCCTAAATTAAAATTATTAATTTGCGGAGCCCTAAGTTTGATTCTCACTCTTGTGCATTAAATGATTTCCACATGATTCCAAACTTGTAATCTTCTATTCCGAGGAAAGAAGCTCTCTTTCCCTTGTAGACTCTAACTATATATTATATTTGCAATTTCTGTTTTAGCTGTTCCTTCTTAGATAAATAAGAATTTAACGTACCTCTATTTTTACAAGAATTTAATTTTTATACATTGATAAAGTAATTTTTTCTATATATTATCAGGGCATGCAGATCTAGTGAAAAAGCAATGGATCTAGTCAAGCTCAATAACTTTGACTTTATTCTATATGTGTTAAAAAACTCGTACTAAAAAATATAGTTCAAATATTTGATGTGATATGATAGAATTTAAAAATTGAATCCATAAAGTTCAAATATTTTTGAATCCATCTCTGAATTTTTATTAGTGTATTTTAACCAGTTATAAACAATTAACTGTCGTTATATTCCCTATTACTCTGATTATTATGTAAAAAAACTATATGTATGTTAGATGTTTGCCCTAATTTTTCTTAGCATTTTGAATTTTCTTTGTTTTTGAAAGAAGGGCAAAACATTTACTATAATTGGATTTTAATTTTTCTAAAATGAAAAAAAAAATTTGCTTTAACATTTAACCTGTAGGAAAAAAATTTGGACTTCTATAATAGGATTCTTCCTTCGCACTTCACCACATGTACAATATAGTCCTTAAGAGAGTTTTATTTATTAAGAGAGTGCAAACCTCTTTAATAGTAAATTTGTGAGGTTATTTTCTCGATATTTATATATTTCTACTAAATTATAATAAATCATTATATTTTTTTAATATATTTCTTTTTATTGTTTTATTTAACCGTCCAAAGTTTACATTAGTATACATGACACCTACTTATTTCGATCCGACATTTTACCTCATAAAACGGTTACTTTTCTGTTTCGATTTCCAGTTACCAATTTTTTCAAACCCTACACTCCTTGGAGGAAGAGACGGTGGTAGTCGACAGGATCAGAACCTTGAAAACATTTTTTATTCCATAATTAATGTGTTTTTATTTAATAACTGATGATTAAATTAAATTAAAGTATGCGTAAAAAACAGACATCTTCAGGGTCATAGAGAAAATAAAAAACATGCAAAACTCCAATGCAAACATTAAATGAGCCTTGTGATATGGAAGATTCGATTATTGGGAAATTGGATGTTTTGTCTTGTTTTACTCTTTCTTTTTTGGATTTAAATTAAATTCCAAAATGGTGGAGATTCAAAGCATTCTAATCTTTGACAACATAGCTTCTATTCTTGGAGTTTTATATGGAAGATTTGATTATTGGGAAAATAGATGTTTTGTCTTTCTTTGATTCAAAGCAATCTAATCTTTGACAAAGAAAGTTTCTATTCTTGGAGTTTGAAGAGGCTTCGTGTTTTTTTCTTGGGTTCCCAAGGCTTCGTGTTTTTTCTTTCCGACTAGTAATTTTAGAATTTATCGAATATTTGTTGATATCACAAAAATACTCATAGATAACCAGTTTTTTTTTTTCATTCTTATTAGTATTTTCAATCACTCAAATACTTGTGAATTTGATTAGTATAATCATGAGTGGCTAAGACCCATTAATTTTGTGGCTGTGATTAGCCATGAGTATTGTTATTTATGTTAACTTCTCCTTAAATACAATTTGATATAATTATATGATTATTTCTTCGATTCTATGCTTAATTGTTTGATTGTCCGGCCAACGATCAAGTTCTATCAATTATCTGGATTATGCTTGATAAACCTACGTTTAGATTAGAGAAGAATTGAAGAGAGCATAATCTTATCTCTAAGGTTAGAGTGCAGATTTGTGGTTAGGATAGAATTATATCTCGTCAGCATGCTTAGTTGGATGTCACGATCTTAATAAGTTCTTGGTAGATTAATTTTATAGAAATATAGGCGTTAATCTATCCTGAGCAGACGCGTAGTAATTTAAAAGAGTACTACGAGCATATTCAATTTAGCAAATTAGCAACCATAAGCATATTGCATTAAAGGGGAATTAACTACGATCCAATATATAGGATTGGTAAATCGATCACAACCCTTGAATATTTATCTCTATTTTAAAATAAAAACAACAACCAATTTTTTGTTGTGTTAGTTAGTTATTCGTTCTAATTGTTTGTCTTATTTAATAATAAACAACTCAACCAATTGCTTGAATTGACTTGATAACAATTCTAATTGAAATAGTAGGTAGCTAACAATAAGTTTATGTATATTTGATACTTTATTCATCATTATATTATTTGTTAACCACGTATACTTATGTATGTATTTGGAAGCAACAATAAACCAAAAAATTAAGTGAGTAATACCTTAGAAACAATCAAGTTGTTGCATTGAATTGAACACGTAAAATTAATACTATACTGAATTTGCTAAAAGAATGACTACTGTGTGGGTACTCTGCATGAGATGGTGGTGTTGAAGTTTGGCAAAATGCCAAAGTCCCACATTGGTTGGGAGTTAAGTTTGGGGGGGAT